TTCTAAAGTCCGGCATTTATTCCTCTGCCTGTTTCCGGGGGACAGACTTGAGCTCTCCCTCCGTGAAACATCTGAACCAAGAGAGAGACAACACAGATAACAGCTATCACATCAGAAAGAGATTATTTCACAGTAAGGACATTCAGACACACCTTTGTGCTCTGGTGGTGACTCTCTGGCACTGTGTCTGGGGTGATACCACATTGTCATGACTCTAGAGCACAGGTCAACACACTTTTCCTGTAAAGGACCAGGTAGTAAATATTTGCGGCTTCAGGGGCCATATGGGCTCCATCACATGTACTCAACTCTGCTATTGTAGTGTGAAAGCAGCCAAAGGCAGTACATTAACAAGTAGGTGTGTCTGTGTTCCAATAAAACTTTATTTACAAAAACAGGCAGTGGGCCAGATTTGGTCAGCAGGCCCTCTTTTGTCAGCTCCTATCCTAGAGTACTAATTGCTCTTTCATTATTAGGGGCGGCCGGTTAGCTCAGTTGGTTAGAGTGCAGTGCTCATCACACCAAGGTTGTTGGTTCGATCCTCATAACCTCCACAACTAGATTGAAACAACTATTTGACTTGGGTCCTGGAAAAACACTTTTCCCCAGTAAAATTTAATAAATAAATAAATAAATAAAATCTTACAAAAAGTATTATTAAAATTTATTCAATATCCTCTTCTTTCTGTGTTCTCTTTCTATGTCTAATAAAAGGCTGACTTATTTGAAAAAGCAAGACATTTTTCCAAAAATCACTTTAAAAGAAGTGTGCGGTTGGGGTGGGAGGGAGGTAGACTAGGTGTAGAGAAAACATGGTTATTTGACAGCATGGCATGGTCCTTCCCCAGACTCCAATCGGCTCTGCTCTGTCACCAGTTCCCTACTGCCCCTGCCCAACCTGCCCTGAACAACCAAGACCCCTCCCACATGGCCCCTGAGTCTCTGAACCCCTCCCTCAGCCTGGGCCTGGGGCTCAGGGGGCCAGCAACTCTGCACCTGTGCGAGAATTCCTCTCGCCTCAGTCTTGATGCAAAGGTGCACTCTGAGTTTGTGCTGACCGTTGCCCTAGAAACTCGTTAAACCTTTTATTTTCCTACCAAAGACACTGAGTTAAACCAACAGTGTGCAGCCTCTAGCACCCTGCCCCCTCTTTCACCTCCGTACCCAACTTCATTGTCTTTATTCCAAGTTAAAGGATCATTATGAGGTAGGGAAAAAAACCTCACAAAGCTTTATAGCCCCTATTTTCCTCTCCCATAAGGATGTGCTTTTTAGAGTCTAGAGGGGCCCAGGTGAAAGAGTCTTGCTAGCAGTTTCACTGGCTTTCCATCAGGAGAGCTAAAATGATGGTTGCCAAGCAACACACAGGCCCTGGCCTCTTCCCACAATGTGGACTTAAAAAAAAAAAAAAGTCCTATGATTGAGTCATGAATGGAGAACAGGAAATCCACAGGGCAGACAGTTTGCTATAACAATATTGTATCCTTTTTTCTGTCTTTGGTGTTTTTTTCCTGAGAACTTACACAGGGTCACA